TTTACTTTATTGCAAATGTCAGCTTAGTAGAACAGGATCATCTACCCACATCTAATAAGCAAAAGTTTCCACGCTCAGCTTTTCTTTTTTTTTCAAGCGAAGATGAGATTAGATTTTGGCACGCACGGAAAGTTGCGCAAGAACCAGTTGCTCGACATACCTGCGTGGCCCGTGCGACGAAAGAACTTCATGGGATTGGCAAAGTTTCAGTCACAGCAAATTATGCAAAAAATCTAGAAAGATTTAAGCTTAAATCTCCTTTAACGTTTAAAGCGACATATCAATGACTGCAACCATCGTGTTGTGTACAAACCTCGCAATTTTTAAAACACGTTCGCTAGTGATACCTGCGAAAGTATTCAATACAATTTCCGGTAAAACACAAAGATTTTCTGGCACCAATCAGATGGCAGAACGACTGCGACCGTCTGGAACTAGTCTTGTAAGACAATGTCCCCAGGGGCTCTTCATGTCCTAACTTGAAATCGACTCAGCTCCTGGGTCTCCGAGGATGCGGCTAGTCATGAATTCCGCTTTTCGATCGAATTCTCCACTCTGGGACAGCGGCCCTCTCTTATATGACGGACCAAAGTCGATATGGGCCAGGGCAACTGTTCTGGAAATGATGAAATTTAGCAATTCGCCTATAATTTTGTCCCAACGGACAAGATCGGCGGCAGGTTTGGCACATTTTCAGTATGTTCAGCCCGGAGTCAGTCGACCTTCGTTCGTACAATCGTGTTACAGCAGCTCTAAGTCTGTTCCATCCCCTTCACCTTTACCTTCACCGCCAGAGTCGATTGAAGAGGAAACAATAAGACCTAAGACCCATCTTAGTTTTCGGGATTACGAAAACTAAGACCCCCTAAAATCGAATCCGTCGAAATATAACCAAAACAGGTCTAATCTGTCAAATTATCTCCTGTCCGATCTTTCCAGTCAAATTTAACGCTAAATTTAGGGGTAACTAATTTGCGAGCCTGCGAGCCGGAGCCATCTTTTGGGAGCCTCGAGCCTCTTCTTGCGAGCCTCGAGCCTCTTCTTGCGAGCCTCGAGCCTCTTCTCGCGAGCCAATGTTTGTTCTATATATATCTTTCCATTTTCTCTCCTTATTTTATTCTAATGGTCTTTGGTTCTTCTCCAGAAAGCATTTGAAGGTGAAAATCTGAAAAAATATCAAACTAGACGCTCGAGAAGCGTTTACTCGGGCTTCGTAGCGAGCGCTTTACTTGAGAATTATTCACCACGCGTAAAATAAAACATAAAACAATTTATTCGAAACTACAAAGCCATAGCATTCACACAAAACACGAGTACAATTATAATATGCATCACGAGATCTGACCTTTAATGACATTATAACATCATTATGTTGATGTACATTGGTCATATTGGAAAACTTTTTCTAGTGGATCACAGTCATCAAGAGTATTCATCGTGTCTTCTACTAAGCACTCGTAACTCCATGCAAAGAGCAAACCAACTTTCACGATCGCTTACACAATATTAATAGTGATTATGTACGAAATATCAAATCGTACTTTATAAGTATTGAACCCGATAGAAACCAATTACAGAAACATGTGTTTAACGGAAGAGCTAAGCTTAGATATTTAACATTACTATTCATGTTGCCTCTGTCAGTATTCCTATCCAATTCGCTGTTGTTAGCGCCGCCTTCGAGCGAGGTGTTCGTCTCAGCTTCATAGTTTGTTGTTAATCGGCTCTCACAGTTTTGCCAGTATTTTCGTAGTTTGAGCGAAAACGCTCGACATCGTTTAGTGTGGGCCTACTACGAACGGTGTG